AAAAAAAAAAAAAAAAAGAAGTAGAATTGAAGAGAAACTGATAGCAAGAGATTATCTGGACCAATCACAACTCTGTGCCCAATAAACAGACACAGGTATTGTCCTATGCCTCTAGCATAGTATGTAATCATGGGAATATTATTGCTTTACTGCTCTCCTTTCAACCTGCAGTTAGAATAATGGGGTGTGAATGTTTTACCAGCTGTTTGACCTGGGGCAACTCAGCTTCTCTTTCTCTGTCCTCATTTGTAAAATGCAAATATTTATTCCATGCTTTGTTCTGAAAAAGACTTAAGGTGACTTACAAAAATACTCCAATATGGTGAAAATAGAGACAGTAAAAGGAAAATAGTAGACTTTAAAATAAAACTGTGGGGTAAAGTCATTCGACACAAAATTGGCTTATAAATTCAATTTTAAGCTTCCTAATGGCAAAGCAAAGGAGAAAAAATGAAGAAATGAAAATACCACCTGGCCCACCTAATTCTGAGAACATCATGAGGATCAATTGAGATAATATATGTGACATTGTATGTATAACTTGATAGACTATCTAACCTGACAACTAGAAAGGATAGCTTTCAGAAAGCAAAATACGCCTAGATAAATATTTGTCTTATCTGCTTTTCAGATTATAGGTACAAAAAAGATGAGCTTTTTAAGAGACTAAAAGTTACAACTTTTGCCCAGCTGGTAAGTCTAATGATCTTTCCATTGGCGTAAAGACTGTCTTGTCTACTTTATGGTGTTTTATGTGATTATTTCTAATTTCAACTCTAAGGAATGTTTGCAAAGGAGTTTCTTCTGGTTCTTTGCATGGATTTCACCAATGAGAGGATTAATTGGTGTATGTGTTCACATGAAGATGATGTAAACTTTTTTTCTCTTCTTCAGTAAGAATTCTATAAAATAAACGTGCATTTTTAAATTCATTAAATTGATAGTATAGGTTTTATTTTTCCTCATACTTTAACTTAAAATTTCTGGATAGTTTCAAAATTTCTCTCTCAATCTCTCTTTTTTTTTTTTTTTTTGAGACAGGGTGTTGCTTTGTTGCCCAGGCTAAAGTGGAGTGGTATCATTTATAGCTCACAGCAACCTCAAATTCCTGGGCTCAAGTGACTTCCTGCCTCAGCCTACTAAATAGTTGGGACTGTAGGCATACTACCATCATCCTGGCTAACTTCCTTTTTCTTTTCTTTTTTTTGGGGGGGTGGGTGGGTGGAAATGAGGGGCCTCACTATGTTACTTAGGCTAGTTTTGAACTAACCTCAAGCAGTCCTCCCACCTTGGCCTCATAGAGTGCTGGGATTATAGGCGAGAACCACTACCCCTAGGCTCCCCTCTGAGCTCTTTTCCAAATCATTCTTTGTTGTTTTGGACAAGTCACTTTCTTCCATTTGAAAATTATGGAAAAACTGTCTCTTTAGCTCCCAAACAAGAGTTCCATTGGTATAACTCATGTTGACTCTCAGACTTATGAGTTAAGTTGTGAAAAGTGCTTTAAAAATGAACACCATGGCTCGGCGCCTATAGCTCAA